GGAGCGCGGGGCGTGGAGGGGGGGGCGCGTGAACTTTTCCGCGGCGTGCATCACTTCGGGGGCGCCGCGCGCCGCCTCTGCGCGAGTGGGAAGGCTCCCCGCGAGCTCAGCGGCCCCGAGAGGCTGCCTCCCGCCCGCGGGCAGCTGCGCGCCGCGTCCTTTCTGCCTCGGTCGGTTTTCGGCGTCGCCCTGATTTTCGTCCTGCCTCCTCCGCCCCTTTTGCTTTTGGGATTTTTTTTTTTTTTTTTTAAAGAAAAAAATGTCCTAGAGGCTCAGGGTGCTAAAAAAGAAAAAGAAAGAAAACACCCAACAATATATCTTTATGAAATTTGCCCCCAATTCTCAAAGTGGTCGTTTCGCCCCTGCTTGAACAGGTAGGCTTGGTCTACCCTTGGGAAACACAGGTAGCCCTGGAGAAGGGGTGCAGTTTTGTTCAGTGGGGTAAGGCGAGTTTTTAACCGTATATTTAAAAAACAGCATTTTCTCTTTATTTGTTGATTTTCATTGTTTTAGATGAAAAAGCTCCAGCTAATTTTAGGAGTGCTGTTTCTAAGAATCATAAATAAAGCGATGTTTCTTGAATAATCTGACATTGCTTCTTACAGTTTTGCCCTTGGATGAGGTGTGTAATACGTGTAATTATTTGGTGAAACCTGATATGTAAGTACATTTATTATGCAAATGGATAAGTTTTCTTTTTTCATGTGTCCTATGGGGGACTGAAGCCCATTTTCTCACACCTCTAGGTGTCTGCCACACCTGGCTACTGGTTTCTGCCTTCTCCACTTACTGTGTGTGTCTGATGTTACCTACAAATCAAAGGTGCTGATGAAAAGTCCCTATATTTTGTGACGTGTTGTATAGCCCAAATTTTAGTGACATAATTAATTACATCATCCAGATTATTTTCAAAAATAAAAGTAGAATGTGGGAGCTTTTTAAAGAAAAGAGTATCATGAAGTATTTAATCAAGTATATGCTTTATATATAATTTTGTATGTGAAAAATATACTACCAAAGTAGACAGGGAATTTGTAGGTAGTGTCTTGTTTGCAGTGGGGAAGTTGTGAAAGAAAGTTATTCCAGAATAACCATTGATATTATATCACTTTATTTGTGATATAGATTTTTGTGTCTGAGCATAATTTTGTCTCTGCTGTCAAATATACCAGAACTGAAACTTTATGGAAAGAACTCTCAGTCTCAAGCATTTTCTGAAAATTTGCAGCAAACTGAACATTCTTAGAAAAAAATTGCTTAGAAAAAGCCACATATTTAAAACTCTAACTGCAGTTGCCATTTTACCTTAAGTTTGCTTGTCTCCAGGCAAGTAAGTACTGTATTCAATAAGAATTTGGGTTTCTAAGGTAGATGTGACTTGGTTCCTGTAATAGTATTGATTGAATGCCTTGAGATTTTGTATATGCTTTATTTGATTTGAGATGATTGCTTTGTGAATTATTCTTTCCGAAACTAAATGTATAATATCACAATATACGTCCTAAAATCCACATCTGTCTATATCTATCTATCTAATATATGTAACAGAAATAATACACAATGTTTATTATATATAATATAATTATACAGGGTGGGGCAAAAGTAGGTTTACAGTTGTGAGTATGCAAAACATAGAGTTTATTCTTGTAATATTATTTATTAATTATTGTATTGTTTTCCATATGAACAACTGTAAACCTCCTTTTGTCCCACCCTGAATATTATATATAACATATATAACAATATGTATAATAATAAAAAATATGCATATATAACGGAAAACTCTTCAGGGACTTGATAATACAGATGCACTGAGAACAGCAGGTCTAAAGATCATAAGCTAAAAATAGTTAGTTAGAGCTTGTCATCTCTTCAGCATTTTCGTCAATATCAGTTAAAAATACTAGGTTTTCCAATATGTTCTTATCATTGCACAAAGCTTGGATCAGGAGCTATGTGCCAATCATTCTAATCACATATTTATTGAAATGGACTGAATTATCCCATCAACGGATGATTGAATCAGGCATTTCTTAATCTTCAGTAGAGGAACCCCTTGGTAAAATTTGGCTTGTCAATGTAGTTTTTTTCTTTTAACGCTTCAAAAAATGACCTTCAGGGCATTCCCCATTGGTCTTGGCTTAGAGAGGAGACCTCAAAGGCATGGAGAGGCAAACCTTGGGAAAGTTTTGGTATTCTGTTTTGTGAAATGATGTCCTAATTGTTTGATTTGAAAGAGGTACCCATTAATGCTTGGAAAGATAATAGTTATATTAAAATTTTAAAAAGTTTGGATGAGCACAGAAGGAGAAATTTAATGTTACATGGAAATACAGGGTCAAGAGAAGAGTTTTTTGCCTGGAGGGTGTTCAGTCCGAAATTTGAAGTTCTGGGAAAATTGAGCATGTTTGTTTGTAGAGCAGTGAGAGCAGAGATGGAAATATTGAAGATAAGAGAGGGATAACACAATTCATATCTCAGATACTTATTGTGGTAATTTTAAATGTTCACCATTTCTTTGCTACTGTCCCATGAAGAGGTGGAGACTAATTCTCTTCCTTTATTCTAGGGGCTGAACTTAGTGATTTACTTCTAAAGAATAGAATCTGGTTGAAGGGATACTATGTAATTTACATGGTAAGTTTTGAAAACAAGAAATAGTTTTCTCCTGGCTCTCTCTTCTGGGATTTAGCTATTGAAATGCAGTTGCCATGCTGTGTGGAAGCCCATCCCACATGGAGAGGACACCTGTAGGTATTCCTATTGAGATCCCAACTAACAGCCAGCGTCCACTGAAAGACATTTGAATGAGTGAGTGTACAGGGTGACTCAGCTACCTCTTCTGAGTAACAGCCATCTAGTGAGTCTGTTCAACCCTCAGAATTACCTTTTTGTATTCCCTAAATTAGGAGAGGTTTATTAACAATAGATAGATAGGACATTTTTCGAGTACTTTGTGTAAGTACTTACTATGTAAGACACTCTGTTAAAGACAGGGCTTATGAAGATGTCAACATCAGCTCTGTTCTCTCTGTATTGAAAGAAGTTTAAATCTAATAAAAACATTAATTGCATAATCCTATAATATATGTACAATTTCAATAATAAACTGTTTAATGGATGAGAAGAAGAATACCCAGAATACAATGCTCCACTCACAAGCAAAGCTTTGAGATATTTCTTATCGCATTCCACAGCTGAAGCTATTACATTTCAGCATATATATGAAAATGAGAAATGAAATAATTTTTTAGAATGATTTTTGCTTTACTTTCCTAGGTATTTACCAGAATTGTGTTTACTTATTGCATGTAGCAATTTTTTTGAAGCTATGACATGTATATATTTGGAGTGATTTCTTAGTTGTTTAGTTGAAACAGTAACGTGTTTCCCAGAGTTTATGTTGTGTCTCTTGGACTCTCAAAAAACGACATTTGAAATGTTTTACTATGAGCTTGACATCACAGACTCAGAACTGATGGGATGTTAGTCAATTACAGTTTCAAGTTTCCTGGGAATTTGCTGCTTAAGGTCAGATGTGGCCCTAAATTGAACTGGATAATCCGTGAAATAGGTACTTTTGCAACCACAGAACATGGAGAACATTCCAGATAATTTGCAATGTGGGCAGCCCAACATGGTTTAGTGTTCAGTCGGCTTGAGGCAGTGTGCCATGCTTGTAAAAAATGGTTTCTGAAGCTGACAGACAGCAAGCTGTTTCTGTCTTTGAGTTTGACACATAGGATAAAGTGCCTTTTAGTTTCTGTGCCAGTAAATATGGACAAGATTGGTAAAAAAGTAATTTGTTTCCATTTCTGTCTGTATGCCAGAAGATTCAGAAAACTCAAGCATGAAACTCTAGCTTAAAATACTGGAAAGGTCATTTGTGTTCATTAAAAATGTAGTGAAGAGTTGGCAGGTTGGATTTTATCCTAGTTTTCAGGTGTTGGGCAAGAGTGTATGTACATTCAGAGGTAGGAGGATAATCTAGTGATCACCTATTGAAATTAATAACAACACTGTTATCTTCAGTATTTCCTTCAAGCGATAATGCTAAAGAAGTTATACCCTCCCAGGCCCAGTTGAGATTAAAAAATATCCCCAGCCACATCTGTACCAGTCACTTAGCATATGTGTTAATCGATTCTTAGTTTTCCGTTGAAACCATTATGTGTCATTTTGGTTGTAAGCATTACATACTTTTTGAGGTTTTTGACCAAAGCTTCTTAGTTAACTATTTTTCTTTCAATTGGCTTAGCCAAATCTGTATCTCTATGTTTTTATTGATTTTAGAGAGAGAGAGGAAGGAAGAAAGAGAAACATCAATGGGTTGCCTCCCATATGCACCTCAACCAAGGATCGAACCCACAACTGGGAATCGAACCTGCAACCTTTTGGTATAAGGAGTAGATGTTCCAACTAACTGAGCCACCTGGCCAGGGCAGCATTTTTTTTTTTTTAAATGTGGAAACTTCTAAGGATCTGCCTTGGGGAGGTAGTACAAAAAGGACATGATTCTTTATTCTAGTCGTATCTTCCAAAGGGAGATGCTGTCACCTCTTCCTATTTTTTTAAAACAAGCTGGGGACCCAGGAAAGCCTATGGTGTAGTTCTGAGAACTGGAGGGCTGATGGTGTAAGTGCAAGTCCAGGTAGCTGGGTTTGTTCCAGCTCAAACAGCCAGGCAGAGTGCGAGTTCCCCTATCGTCCGCCTTTGTATTTTGTTCAGGCCTCCAATGGATTGGATGACGCCCACCCACATTGGGGAAGGCAGTCTGCTTTACTCAGTCTACCAATTCAAATGCCTGTCTCATCCAGAAGCACCATCACAGTTACACCAGAAATAATACTTAATCCAAGTACCCCGTATTTCAGTCAAGTCAACGTGAAATTAACCGTCACAATGATTATCTCCCTTAGACTTGTGAATTACATAAGATCAGAGGATGTATCAGTTTTGTTCTTCATTGGATGCCTCGCTTAGTCAGAAGCTGGCTTAGAGTGGGCACTTAATAACTATTAAAGGAAGGAAATAAATAAATTTAAAAGAGTGTATAAGTCAAGTTGAAAAGTATATATCAAAGACTTAGATGACATACATGGATATGGTTGAAGACTGCAGATCACAGCAAGATATGCAAGTGACATTGGCTGGCACATGGTGGCTCTGTTGACATTTTCTCTCTCTTTATCTGGTGGCCCTTTTGAATGCTAAAACTAAAGTCTTACATCATAGATTTTTGGACTCCGAGTATTTTAAGTATGACCTTTAGATTTTTCAGAATCTTTCCAAGTTAACCAGAATTATTTTGATCATGGCAGTGAATCAAGGTCAAAGCAGATTTGCCATTATTTTTTAGGATGAGTCAATGCTGCTCTTCAACAATCATATTTTGAAATGGTATAGTAAGAGCAGAAAGATATTTAATTCTTCACTGCTTCTCTTACATTATTTTTTACCTTTCCACTCATGAGGACATTTGGTACAGTAGTTCTCCCTGTTTGCAGGGGATATGTTCCAAGACCCCTTGTGGATGCCTGAAACCACAGATAGTTTTGAACCCTCTGTGTACTATGTTTTTTCCTAAACATTCATACCTATGATAAAGTTTAATTAATTAGGCACAGTAAGAGATTAACAACTAATAATAACAGAACAATTATAACAATATACTGTAATAAAAGTTATATAAATGTGGTCTCTCTCTCCCTCTCAAAATGTCTGACTGTACTAACTCACCTTTTCACTTAAAGGAAACATTATATGGCTTCTCTTTGGCATTGCCAGCATCACTACTCTTGTGCTTTGTGGCCATTATTAAGTAAAATAAGGGTTACTTGGACACAAACACCAAGAGGCGACACAGTTGATTTGATAGCTGAGATGGCTACTGAGTGACTAAGGGGCAGGTAGCAAATACAGTGAGGATATGCTGGACGAAGGGATGACTCACATCCTGAGCAGGCTGGAGAAGGGAGGGGGAGAGGTTTCATCGCACTACTCGAACAGTGTGCAATTTAAAACTTATGAATTGTTTACTTTTGGAATTTTTCATTTAATAGTTTTGGACCACAGTTGATTACAGGTAACAAACTGCAGAAAGTGAAACCATGGGTAAGAGGAGACTAATGTAGTTCCATATATCTCTTATGTTTATTGGAATTTGCTTTGGTAATGAATTACATTTACGTGTGACAGGATCAAGGATTTTAGCAGGGTTTTTTTCTTTTTTTTTTTTTTAACTTTTATTGATTTTAGAGTGAGAGAGAGGAAGGGGAGAGAGAAACATCAATTTGTTGTTTCACTTATTTATGCATTCATTGGTTGATTCTTGTATGTGCACTGACTGGGGATTAACCCAGAACCTTGGCTTATGGGGACAATGTTCCAACCAGCTGAGATAACTGGCCAGGGCTTAGCATCTTTCTTTAAAAATATATATATATATATACACACATACACACACACACACACACACACACATACATATATATATGTGTGTGTATATATATATGGTTGACTTGTGTATACAGGTTGTTTGAGGTTTCTGGTAATCTCAATAAGGTGTCCCGATTTCACATTCTATGAAATTTCTGTTATACCGTACGAGAAGATATTCTGGTTAATGTGGGAGGGCTGAGGTAATAAGGTTGCAGGGTAGGGAGTCTTACCAAGACTCGTCTTTTGCCAAGAGATGATGCTTGAACCACCTTAGGCAGTGACGTCGCCCAGATGTGTAGGAGAAAAGAGACCATGGTGTAAGCATATGTATCCCCTATTTGTTTTTAGTAGACAGATAACGTGTCACACGAATCTCCAACAGCTAGCGCAGTCCCTGGCCCATGTTGACACCCTAGCCATTTTTGTTGAATTAACTGGGCTGGAGCTCTCAGGGCAGGCGCAGTCAGCAACAAAAGGTGTTGTTATGAAAAGCAAGTAAGCTATAGTACCATTGTGTCTGGAGGCAGGAATAAACTGGGCGTGGCTGTAGTGGACTGTTCCAGGAGATATAGGAAGGATTATAAAGACTTCCACCGTGGTCAGATCACTGAGAACAAAGCAGCTGCATCTCTTTTGTTCTGAAATAGACTACTGAAAGCAGAAGCTGGAGTGGAGGGCATAGGAGAAACAGGTATGTCAAAATCACAGGGTGGAATCTTGAAGTGAGAGACAGGTTTAAGTTCAGTTTGGAGTGAGATATGAACAGTCCTTTGCAAGGGTGACGGGGTAGAATCCTCAGTGTCACTGAAGTGCTGGTGTTTGGAGGACGTGGTTTTCTTTTCTGGCTGCATAGAACTGCTGGCTTTCGTTTACTGAGCACTGACTGTGTCAGGACTTTACATTTGCCATCTCATTTAACCTTTACAATAGCTTCATGAACTAAGGCACACTATGATCACGTCCATTTTTCTGATGAGGAACCCAGAGATTAAGTAACCTGCCCAGTGACACACAGCCAGGTGCTCTGACCACTGCTAAGGTGGACACAATGGGCATCTGGAGGAAGAGCATGGAAGGTTTCAGTAGAAAGTGTACTGTGGCCTGGACTGCCTTTTTATTTCCTCCAAAGGACATGCCAGGACCACCTGTGGTAAGGGGCAGTGGAGAAAGAGAGCACCAGCATTTTTAGAAGCAAT